CGGCTGCTCCTCGATGATGCTGAACTCGTCTGGAGGGAGCGTGGATATCTGGGTGTCATCGTGGGCGGCCGCTGGACTTACTGGGATTCCCTTATCCTGCTGCTCCTGGGTGGGGGATGCTGGGAATAACCTCTCCAGCTCGTTCATGTCCAGCTGCTTCCCGTTCAAATCCCGGTCGTCCCTGTCCCTGCGAGCGGCCCCGTTGAGGACGAGGCCCGCGGCGCTGCGCTGGCTCCGGGGGATCTGTGGGGTCGACAGCTGCTCCTGCACGTTTTTGCACATCAGCAGCCTGAAAAACACAGAGATGGAGCACGAGGGTGAGTAAATCCGGTGCCTCCACTTGCTTCTTTCCCCCAGACTTCATCCCCATGGTACATCCCTTCCCTCTTTAAAGCCCTCCTATAAAGTCACATCTCTTCCTCTTGCCATAAAAGGGCTTTTGCTTTTTGGGGAGGCTTTCCAGAGCAGAGAGCAATGCTCCCAGGCAGTACCCAGGATGGGGACCAGAGCTGATGGGATATATTTGGAGAAGCCCACTGAGATGCCTGACCTGAGATGTGCACAAAAAACAGCCCATCATCACCCTGGGGGTGCGAGACCCCCATGGGGACACCCACACAGCTTTAGAGACCATCACAAGCAGCCCCTACCTCCCTCTGTAGCCAAACATGAGGAAGAGGACGCAGAAGATGATGCAGGTGACGCCGATGTGGATCCCGATGATGATGCCGGTGGCGGAGGTTTTGTTGCTCTGCTCGTCCTTCATGCAGTCGCAGGGGGGATTCAGCACTGCCAGGAAAGAAAGGGGAGAGGGGGTCAGCGGTGCCGATTTCCTATTGCTCCTCTGGATTTATTGGCTTTTAGCCATTCCCCTGCTCTGGGTACTCCATGCATGGGACTGGAAGGTCCATACAGAGCCATCTCCCTTCCCCAGGCTGCCGTTACTAGACACAATTAATGAACCTAAAAGACTCCAGTGTTAATTTTTGCAAAGCCCTGTGTCCAAGGTGAGAGGCAGCTGATACCTGATGGAAAGCACTGAGTAGGCAGATGCCAAGGAGATCAGCATTTACTCCAAGACAGACGGAGGAGTAGTAACCATCTCCTGAAGATACTCCCACTGGAAGGCTTAAAAGGCTGCCAGGAGCATCAGGATGTTTTTTACACATAGATGAATACGAAAGGTGTGATCAGTTAGAGACTCCCTCTAGAGATTTCCCCTTTCCTGCTGCATAATGCAGCGCTCATGCTCTTTCCAAAGCCATGCATCCTCCCTTCCCAACACCAGTGAAGGCCAAAATATTCAGGAGAGCTCCAGAGATGCTCGGTGCAGCAAATTCCACCTGAGGATGGCAGCTCTTAGCTCATGCCTGGGGGCTTTGCTCATGTTCATGGCCTCACCTCTGGGAAAAGCCACCCCTACACCAGGTGGTCCCAGCCCTGCAGAGCTTTGCTTCGTCTTTATTTGTGATGCTGACCATAAACAAGCAACTGAAAATGAAATGTGGGTATCTGGGGGATGTGTCTGGGTGAGACCTCACAGAATCACATAATCACAGAATATTAGGATTTGGAAGGGACCTGGAAAGCTCCCCCAGTGCAACCCCTGCCAGAGCAGGATCACCAGAGCAGTCCCACAGGAACACGGCCAGGGCTTTGGGTGTCTCCACACAAGGAGACTCCACAACCTCTCTGGGCAGCCTGGGCCATGCTCCAGAACCCTCACACTCACAAACTTTGGCCTCAGCTTCAGCTTGAACCTCCTGTGCTCCAGCTTGGGACCATTGCCCCTTGTCCTGGCATTGGCCATCCCAGAGCAGAGCCTGGCTCCTTCCTCCTGACACTGCCCTTTCCCAATGGATCCCCAGGAATGAGGGCACCCCTTGCCACCTTCCTGCAAAGCCTTTTTCACAGACCCTTCTCACCTGTCCTCTCCACCGTTTCCCTCAAGGACACGAAGCGCACTGTTGAGTTTCCATCCCCGTGCTGGTTGTAGGCGAGGAGCTTGACCTCGTACACCACCGAGGCGTCTGTTTTGGTGGAGACACAAGAAAGGCATTGCAGGTTTAATCCCAAGCATTACACCCCTCGAGCCCTTTATTAAGACAACACCCATCTTGCCAAATAACACTCAAGATGCTGCTACTGGGAAAGCATCCCAAAAAAACTGCAGCATCTCCCACTCAATGGCTGTGCAATGCATCTGAGCTCTCTCCTGCTTATCACACCAGGGTGAGGAGGGGCTGGGGCTGGCGCTGTCACCACACTCACCCAGGTGGGTAATGTTGTAGGCCGTGACGTTGCTGGGCAGCAGCACCGGCCCCGTGTACTGTGAGAGGTGCACCTTGCGGTAATACAGCTTGAAGCCTTCGTGCTGGCCCAGTTTGATGGAGGGCTCCCACGTAGCCTGCACGGCGGTGCTGTTAATGACTTTAATGAAGAGCGATGGCATGGCTGGGACTGAAACAGAGAGAGAAAGACACTGGCTTGCACGTGTTGTTGGTTTTTGTTTTTTCAGTCTGCACGATGAGGAATTCCCAAGAGGACACTTTTAACACCCCAGTTGCAACCTGATGCTCGGCCCCCTGGGGTCAGG